TTTGCATTTTTAAAGTAGCATTGTGCAAAATTGTACGCGTCAATTTTCAAAATATTTGGGGGTTTGGTGGGGGTCAGTGGGGGCTATGAAATGCACCATCGATATCATGAATCCCTTTCACAATGATAAGGTGGGACACCTCTTTTAATTAAATAAAAAGATAAAACTTAACAAAATATGATTTTATTTAATCTAGGAATTTAATTAACTTATAATTAAAAAAATAGCAATAAAACTCTTGAAATTATACTGTATTTATTACAATATTGAGTTTTATTTGTGACTTAATCATTTTCTCAATTGAAACATTCAATAATAATATAAAAGTCTATTTTTATTGATTTATGAAACATATATTACATGCTGTGTTGTTCTTACGATTCTGTGTGTGCTGTGAAGTACAGTACAGAACTCGTATGAGTTTTACATTGAGATTAAATGTTGGAAATTACAGGTTTTATATCGATTTTATATTTAAGTTCCCAAAATGCTGTACAATAGATTTTTATATAAATATTTATTTAAATCTGATAAAATGTGTAGGAGTTCAAATATTTGTTTTTATAAATATCAACAAAATATTCTTTTGTTATAACAAAAATTTTCGATGAATTATCAAAATATTGAATAAATATTGAAAAATTATATACAGTATAATGAAATATATAAATATTAAATTTAATTAAATAAAAAGATAAAACTTAACAAAATATGATTTTATTTAATCTAGCAATTTAATTAACTTATAATTAAAAAAATAGCAATAAAACTCTTGAAACTATACTGTATTTATTACAATATTGAGTTTTATTTGTGACTTAATCATTTTCTCAATTGAAACATTCAATAATAATATAAAAGTCTATTTTTATTGATTTATGAAACATATATTACATGCTGTGTTGTAATAAACCTATTTTGTTTTATGATCAACGTTAAATTATGATAAAAGTAATGATAGAATATATTTTTATCATTATTTATAAGATTAATGTACTCTATAATAGAAAACAAATGTTTAAAAATATAATAAACTTTTTCATTCTACTGTATTGTATATAAATTTTCTTTTAATGCTATATAAATTGAATATTGAAACTTATATAATAAATTTATTTAATATATTCATAAAAATTCTGGGAATAATAATTCAAATAAAATAACAATAAAAGATATAAAATAATTCAATGAAGAAATTATTGATTTTTGTACAGATGTTAACAACTTTTAGTATCAATAGTAAGAATAATCCATTTTCAATGTCAATACCGTTCAAAACCTTAAGCTTGTATATTGGGATATACAGTATTAGGACATACAAAAAATAATATTGTTAGAATGTATTATTATTGTATTTTAACAGTTTTAATCAAGATTTAGCTGTATAACCTTATAATACTACTACCATTCACTTTGTTTAGAATTATTTATAAATATAAAATATAAATACAATGATTTTGAAAATCCTTTGGATTGTATTCCCTGTTCACCATTGGGTTAGTGTTGTTAGAAAAAATACAATATTGTCAAAAATGGAAATAAAAAGTTTTTCACTTTTACTTTTGGGTTTTGCTGTACTCATAGCCAACAGCGAGGGTCAGACAAACCCATTGAATCCTTTCAGCAGTATTTTCGAGGGAATGAGAAAACTGTTGAGACGTGGGATGGAAGTGGCGAAGAATCTCAAGAATAATATTCAGAATCAGAATCAGAACCAAAATACAGACACATCTCAGCGGAGGTTTACACCGACGGACAGCTCACAGGCTGATGGCGACGATATGAGTCCCGGCGCTCAACAGTCTTCTGATCCAAATGAATCACAATTTCATGAAATACCTTCAATTGTGATCAATAAATACCACTGATATTTATATTGATTTAATATACCCTGAGCTAAATTCTTATTGTATTACTTATAATCATAATAAAAAATTTTAAAACTAATTTGTTTAGAAACAACTTATTTCGTAATTTATTCATTTATTCATTCATACTATTAATTATCTTACATAAACACTTATATTATATTATTTGTTATTTTTAATGTATAGTTAAAGTCAAGATTAAATAAAAATAAGATATAAAAATATTTAAGATAACTTAAATCTAAACAAAAGTTTTAATTTGAATATAATGTGCAAAATTATATTCACATTGAAATCAGATAATAGTCTATTCCTATAGGAATTAGTTCCGCCAACAAATTGGGCACAAGTTTTGCACAAAACTTTGTAAACATGTTATTACTGTTCAGTTTCGAAATATATTGTCTAATTATTATACTTGCCATAAAAAGGACAAGTTTACGCCACACTTAACACCGATATTATAGTAAAACTTCATTTCAACGAAGGATATGCGAAATAAGTTTTACTTTCACTTCATTTTAATACTGAAAATTCAAACAAAACATTATTTAGATGTCATTTGTTATGCAATATAAACGACTATTTTATGTATTCATTAAATTATAAGTGTTATGAATCAAGTATTTCGAAAGTACTGTATTTTAATCATATGTTTTGTGATTTCCAATCAATGTATTGGACAACAAATACGAGTGTTTGAAAGTGCAAAATGTAATAAAGACTCATATTTTGTGAATGTATTAAAGCCTGAAATCCAATCTAAGGCTCCGGTTGTGAACAGAATTATTCAATTCATACTGAATTCAAATGAAAGAAATAAAACATACGAAGAATTGGCAGAATTTGTCGATACGTTTGGCGGAAGACTATCCGGTTCTCCAGCACTGGAAAACTCAACCGACTATTTAATCGCAAAACTTCAAAATGAAAACCTCGATCACGTATACACTGAGGATGTTTTAGTGCCAAAATGGGAAAGGGGTACAGAATGGGCCCAAATGGTTGAGCCCCGCGCTCAACGATTGGGGATATTAGGTATGGCCGGAAGTGCGAGTACACCAAAGGGTGGACTCAAAGCCGAAGTACTCGTCTGTAATTCAATGGAGGAATTAAATGATATCTCAAATGACAAAATCAAAGACAAAATCGTTTTATTGAACACCAATCGAGTGAACGGATCGTATATTAAATTCAAATTAGACGGCACTCGTATGGTAGCCGATGGGGGAGGGGTAGCCGTTATGTTCAGGTCGTACGCCAAGGATACGGTATACTCGCCCCACGCGGGGATAATTAGGTACTATTCAAAGGACACACAAATACCAGTCGTCAGTATAGCGGCCGAAGACTCGGACTTATTGCACAGATTAAGCAAAAGAGGTGTCAAAGTAATGGTTAATCTCCATCTGGAGTCCACTTTCTATGGTATGACACGATCGAGGAATTTGATGGCAGATCTGGTTGGCACTCAATATCCGGGTGAATCAGTGGTGGTGAGCGCCCATCTGGACAGTTGGGATGTGGGACAGGGAGCTATCGATGACGGGGCCGGCGTTTTTATATCATGGCGAGCGCTGTCATTAATTAAAAAGTTGGGATTAAAGACCAAAAGGACTTTAAAACTAATCCTCTTTACCGGTCATGAGATGGGAAGGTTTGGATCCAAGGCTTACGTTGAGGTGAGTCTAGCATTATATCTCAAATTATGATTCATTGAGTTATGTGTGAAATATTTGCTCATATTTCAGAAACACTCGCAAAATCTGCAAAACACAAGTGTAATACTGAACTCAGATTACGGAACCTTCCGACCCTTTGGACTGACACTATCCGCCCGTAATACCAGAGCTCAATGTATTGTCTACGAAGTGCTGCAACTCCTTCACAAAATCAATGCCACAGAACTAGTGGTCGGAAAGAGTTATGACTTAACACAGAGCGACGGAAATGAGTTCATGAGGGCTGGTATCCCAGCATCGGGTCTACTCAACGACAATACAAAGCACTGGTATTACTCGCACACAAACGCGGACACAATGAGTGCAATCAACCCCTACTATCTGGACCTGTGCTCAATCGTATGGACCGCCGCCTCCTATGTTTTGGCCGATTTGACCGAAATGTTGCCAAAAGACTAATCTATAGCACCGGTAGACACAGCCATTCAAAATCAAAGTATATATTCAAATGTATCTCAAATGCCTAGATATCAAATAAACGCAATATTTTCGCAAACTTTTCATTAAGTTTTTTATTGCATATTAAGTGCTGTATATTAAACATAATTAAATTCAATGTATGTGTCGTCTCATTGAACGTATGATTAGCTCAACCCTGAAATTGTTTCATCAGATATGAAGCGTATATTCACTATAATATGAAACATACAATAATTTGTTATTGGGTTTTATTAGTCATACAATTTCAACACATTATGGCTATTCGTGTAATCAATTGTTCAATTGGTTCACAATTATGAACATTAATTTATTAACCATGTGAAATTGTTGCATACAGTTATTATATAATCTAATTAATTTTATGAATATTAATATATAGACTACAAGTTATATTTTTAACGACAAAAGTGAAAGGTAAATAGCATGTTAATTCAATTAACTGTAAGTACACTGTATATGTGAATTGCCTACAGTATCCAGTATTACAGAATAATTATCACTTTCACTAAGTTTATGAAACAATTAAATTACAGAAACTAATCAATAATTAACTCAAATTGAAACCCACCTAATGTTTCATTGAAGTGAAAGTAACCAATGAATGACTGATTATTACAGTAGTGTTTGGATTAATAACAAACATTTAATTACAATAAACACTATCCGAGTGTTTAGTATTGTATTCCTATTGTGTTATGCAATACAATAACTGTTGACATATTTGACATGTCATTGGATTTCTATGGAAACTCACAACTGATTACTGATTACATGAGAGAGACTGTGATATAGTGGAAGTGATCGCAAGACAACAAAAGACACCACAAAACGAGAGACAAAGAGATGAGTGATTCGCCAGAAGAGCGGTCGCTGTTGGAGGAGTCGCTCGAGTCGATGGCCAACACCGGGAAGTGTCGGATCTGTTGGCGCACGTCATACCTGACAGACCTGATGTCGCCCTGTGTCTGTTCCGGGTCACAGAAGTACACCCACTTTGAGTGTCTCAAGCGATGGATTGTGGAAAGGGATTCCGGGAGCAAAGAGGTCTGCGATGTGTGCCAACAGCCATACAAACAGATTGTGGTCATACAGAACCGGAAGAGCTTTTCTCAGTGGCTCAGAGAGGCGGAGGACATGTCGTCGAAGATCTTCTCGACCCTACTTTTGATGGCCTTCTTCTTTTACTTGATAAACATGGGATGCATTCAGTTCGTCATATCTGACGGCCAGATCACACCCATCGTCCGGTACATCCAATTGGTGCTAATCATCGTCTTTTCGCTCATCTTCTTCAGCACATGCATTGTGGCCGTCTATGTCTTCAGGACGGAGTTCCGGGAGTGGCAGTCGTCGCACATGAATACCGCTGTCGAGCGCACCGATGATCACACGGAGGACTGTCGCCGACCGTCGGTTCACTCGTCGAGCACTTCATACCAAAGCCAGTCGTCGACCGTCAGTATGAGTGACAGTCAGACCAGTGATGAACAGCACAGGACTTTGATTGTCAACGAGTCCGCACATCAGTACGGATCCATTTGATGAGTGGATCCCATTTGTATGCAGTTATTAATCGTATGGCCTTTATATTCGCAAACACACAGAATATTCTGTTGTCTAATCGTTGTCCAAAGTATTGCTACATTCATGAATCATTACAAATGATTGTATTTTTGGTATTTTTACATATTTCTAACTAAATATGTTTTTATGATTCATATTTAATACTAAATAATTTAATATATTCCTTGTCAAATGTTATAAAATAATTAAACAATTTTTAAATACCTTATAATTATCTGTTCATTTAAAGTCAATGCCTCTCAATAATAATAGTATCTACGGACTCCGGTCCCCAGGAAGTCATGCCATACATACTATAATATTAATACTGTATTTGCAAACACTAGTTTTACATCAATTGCCTTATCAAAATAATTTTATTGCATTCATTAACACAATTAAATCACATTTGATAATTAATCCCGAATTAAATGAAAACACAATTGGAGTAAACCTTATTTATTCAAAATACGATTACTTTGTATGATAAATATGTTTTGCTTGTTCATAATCTTGTCATTTAACTATTGAGAACCGGTAGCTTTTACTGTCCCCTAGAAATTATATTGATATTCTAATGCCTGGCAATGAGTCCGAAGTGTACTCCGGTCGACAGCATTCAGATATACAGCAATCTGTGCGATATGTACGGCGGCGCCCACACCGTCCCACACCGTAATGAACTCCGGGTCGCACATAAACTTACACCGATCATCACCAATGGCCAGCAGCAGAGGTCCCACTTCTTTGCGCAGTAAACCGAATGCAAACTTAAAGCTCTGCTCTTCCTTTCGGGCCCTATTGGTCACCACTGTATTGATTGTGTCCATGATTTCTGTCGAGTCCTTTAAAAGCTATCACAATAATGGCAACAATTATAGCAAATCGATGTCTATATGACG